CTTTGTGGTTTTTTTTTTTTTTTTTTTTTTTAGTACTGGGGATCGAACTTGGGCTTTTGTGTTTTTAGGCAGGCTGCTGAACCACTGAGCCAAATCCCTGCCTGCCCTTGGCTGATTCTAACTTGTATCCCTTGGACATAATTAATAAAAAATTTTTTGTATTATTTTATTTCCTGTATGTTAAGACTTAATGAATATCCTAGTTTATGTTCTCCTTCTCTCCTCCTCCTCCTCTTCTCCTTCTCCCTCTCCTCCTCCCCCTCCCCCAGCTCCTGCTCCTGCTTCCTCTTTGTAGTTTTTTGAGACCGTGTCACAATATATAGTCCAGGCTGACCTTGAACTCACTCTGTAGCCCAGGCTGATATCAAATTCATAGTAATCCTCCTTCTTCAGCCTCCTGGATGCTGCTCTACCACACCTGGCAATAAATCATAACCTCATGTGAGTAGACTTACTTTCAGTGAGTTTTGTGAGCCCTTTAGCAAATTATCCAATCTAAGGGTAGTCTTGGGAACCCCTAAACTTGCATTACAGTAAGTATCAGAAGAAAAGGTACTCTTCTGTGGACTGTGCTCCCTAACTTTGTAGCTAACTTTTGCAACTTTATCATTACTCTTTATACTTAATGGATACCACTTTCTTTGTTCTAGAATTTCTAGGGTTTTTTTCTTTTTCATATTTACTTTGTCAGTTGTTACAGTCTTCAGCTTTTCTTGTTGCAATGTGAGGTACTGTGTATGAGAGGCTGGTATTACAGGTGGTAAAGGAATTAACCAATAGTCAAGGAATATAGAAAAGTTAAAAGTTTATGATACACTACAGGAGAACATCAGGTGAGTCCAAAAAAGGACCACGCTGTCAGGGTGAAAGACTGAAATTACATGAAGAGGGTGTCTGAACACGCCATCCCAGGAACACTTTCATCAGGTCCTGGTGGTTCTACTGTGTGTCTGTCTCAGTTTTAAGGACAACCAGGTGTTGTCTGAAGACTGTTGTAATGTTTCCAATCAACTAGTTCCTTGGCAATGTTAGAAGCAGTCCTTCCAGGTAAAATTAATTAGCAAATATGTAAAGATTAATAGTAGTATCAAGGGGATCAGAATAAAATATATGTTTATACTTGAAAAGGAATTTTGAGCTGGGGGTTAAGCTCAGTGGTTCCACTGTCTTCCTCACAAGTGCAAGGACCTGAGTTCAATCCCTGGTACCAAAAAATAAAAGGAATTTTGATGTTACATTGGAATGTAGGAAGAAGTGAGTTCTTTCAAGCAGTCACATCACCTAGGGATGTATGCATAGTGTTTGTGTGTAGTTTGAAAGGTGGAAAGTTAATGTTGTTCTACAGACTCACCACTAGGTACCATGTGACCTTTAAAAGAAACAATGGCAACACAACCATGATTCCCCTAAACTTGTCTTTTATCTCCTTGGAACACAGTAGAAAGAGTTACATTGAACTCTATATCTGATAATCTTTTTACCAGCAGATTTCATGTGACTTTATATTTCTTACCCTTTGTCTTTACTCTTATTCTTTTATTATTATTATTTTCTTTTTTTGTTTTTGAGACAGGGTCTCACTGAGTCTGACCTGGAACTCACTATGTAGCCCAGGCTGGTCTCGAACTCCCAGTGATCCTCTTGCCTCAGCCTCCCCAGTGCTGGGATTACAGGCATGCGCCACCACGCCTGCCTGGCAACTCTTGTTCTTAATGTCTTATTTCATGTGCCTTAGATATCTATGACTGTGTATCAGACATTATATTTGAAAATTTGTTTGCTGAAGTAATTTGAGAGCTTAGGTGACATTTTCTTATTCCAAAAAGATTTTCATTTGCTTCCATCAGGTACACAGAGGAACCAAAAATCAGGATTTTCTTAGGGAATGAGACTTCTGGACTACCTACCCAGATGAGTTGAAGCTGAGTTACAAACCCCTTCAAGGGCTGGTTTAATTCTAGCGTAGCTTTTTGTAGAATCCCAAACCACAGCAAACCCTGGACTCCAACCTTTGTTCTTTAGACAGTGAGCTATTAACAGTACCACTCAGTCAGTCAATACAGCTTCTCACTCTTCCTCCTAAAGTCCTGGGGCTCAAATTCAAGTCCTTATGAATGCTAGGCAAGCCCTATGGCACTGAACTATATTTCCTTCAACCCAGTCTTTTTCATAAGTAGCAAAAGCTCTCAAGGTGAAAGGCCCCCAAATGAAGGATTTAACTCTTTGAACTTTGGTTTTCTTTATTTTCACCCTGTAAGTCTTTATCTTTTTACTGCCTTAATACCTTTGTAATATTTTCATTTATCTTTTCTTTTAAAATTTTACTCAGCATGTGGCCACTCCAAACTATTTCACTGCTATTGTAAGTGGAAGTCTTTGTTGGGAAAATTTAGGAGGGTGTCATTGTTATATCTGCTGACTGCTTGTTTTGAGTTCCTTTGATGGGAAAAAACTGTGCAGCAAACTCCCACTTACCTGGCATGAGTGGAGACTCTAGAAGCAATAGATTTGATCTGTACATAGTGGAACATGCCTGTAATCTTAGCACTGTGTGAGTTTGAGGCAGGAGAATCACAAGTTTGAGTCCAGTTTAGGAAGTTCAGTGACTTAGTGAGATCCTGTCTGAAAAAAAAAAAAAAAAAAAAGTGGTGAAAATATAACTTGGGTGAAGGCTCTGATTTTGTCTCTATTACCTAAACAAAAATCAAAACAATAGCAGCAATAACAACAATATAAACAAGCAATCCAAAAACAAACCCATAGAAACCACAACTTTTTTTGAAATCAAGTTCACAAACCACATTGAGGCAAATGATTTTGATAATGTAAAACATTGGGTTAAATATTATCTTTGTGTGTGAGGCAGGTGTGCTAGTACATACCTATCGTCTCAGCACTCAAGAGGCTGAGGCAGGAGGATCACCTCAAGTTTGAGGCCAGCCTCAGCTACATAGTGAGTTTAAGGTTAGCTTGAACTGTTCTAAAAAAAAAAAAAAAATTATATTTGTGTAGACAGTTGATGAGAATTTAAAATTATACCAATATGCACTCTCAATCTTGATATCAAATGTGAGTTTAAATATGCTTACTAAAAAGGACTAGCTCTTCTATGTCAAAAGATGTGTTTGAAGCACTGGGCATGTGGCATAGACCTGTAACGCCATCACTTGGGAGGCTAAAAAGGGATGTTCTTGAGTTTTAGCCCAGCATAGGATAACCATAGAAAGCCTGTCTAAAAAAGACTCAAACAAAACAAAACCAAAAAACACTAAAAATTGTTTCTTTGAGGTTATAAATGTCTGCTATAGAAAACTAGAAGATATTTTGTTGGATTGTTATAGAGCATTATTAATTAATTTATAAAAAGTGTGTTATATGAGATCAATTTTATTCACTGGCTTTGTGTTAATTAGCTTACTCATTTTACCTCACTGATTGCAATTAATTTAGGTACAATCATTATTAAAAGACAGTGAAGGGCCAGGGATTTAGCTCAGCGGTTCGGTGGCCTGCCTCGCAAGCGCAAGGACCTGAGTTCGATCCCCAGTACTGTAAGACCTAAAGTCTCACTTCCACTTCACGGAGCGTGAACAGCCGAAAGGCCTCCACGATGCTGGGCCCTAACACCCAGCGAGGCTCCGCGAACACGACGGAGAACCGAGAAACCCAGGAAGGAACACACCAGCCTAGATGGTAAAAGAGACCTTTATTAGTCTGGCCAGACGGTACTCCCGGAGCCAGGTGGCTCAGAGAGGCAACTGCTCAGGGGCTGAGGTACTTTTTATATGGTTTTACTAAACAAAGAGTCAGGGAATTCACAGAACAAGACTGCAAACACATTGCCTATCTTATGCAGGAAATGTTCTAGGGTCACCTTTTGTCAAACCATTTGCCCCTGGGCGGGCTGTTAACCAAGGTAGCAATTAGCATATGAAGAAGCACAGTCTGGCCTATTAGCATGGAGTCACTTTAGCCTATTCAAGTCTTACAGTACCACACACACACAAAAAAAGACAGTGATGCGGCTAGGGATTTAGCCCAGTGATTCTGCCGTCTGCCTTGTGAAAGGGAATTGTGATACTCAACAACTATGCCACACACACACTGAGAGTCCAACTGGAGATTTTATTCAAGGGGTGGGAGGAGAGAAATAGAGCAGAGAGAGAGAAGAGGAAGAAGAAGCAGAAGGAGAGAACAAAGAAAAAGAAAGGAAGGTCCTTTTATCAGTTTGGGGGTAGGCTGTTGCTTATTTATGAGGAGTGGGCTACCTTTAACCTATCACAGGCCAGGTTGCCCTTTATGGGTTTGGTCCTGGAGAAACAGGTTTAACCTCTCCAGACCGCTGTGGCCCTGGGGGAAAGAGAAACTAGAGATAAGAGCATGAGGTCTTTAAGAGACAATAAGCACCAGGAGTATGCAGCCTGTGCTGGCGGCATCACAAAATACTTTAACATAATCAATTCCCTAACACCCTGAAAGTGCAAAATCCCGAGTTATTCCCGGTACCAAAAAAAAAAGACAGTGAAGATTCCCATAAAATTGCAAACATAAAGGAATTTCCTCTGGTAAAGAATTTATTTCACATTCAAATTATGTGACTAATAGACTAATTTGGAAATCAATGCAGAGTGTCTTAGTGACTTTTCTCATTGCTGAGAAAAAAATACCTGACAAGGTACTCCACAAGTTAGTGGAAGAAAGATTAGAAACAGTCCTTGGTGGTAGGCGGGAAGCAGCAGGCTCCCCTTTCCCTTTTATCCCATCCAGGGTACAAGCCTTTTGGGTGGTACCACCCACATCTAGGATGGGCCTTCCCATTATCCACACCAAGACTATGATAAACCAATTAGTGGACTGATCCAGTGCCACACACCTTTATCCCCAGTTTATCACACACTTTAGAACTAGCCAGCTCTAAAAAGCCCCACCTGTGAGCACATGCCGCTTTGGGGGACAGCTAGATACAAGCCACAAAGAGTATCAGTTTGTCATGGTGAAGTAGCCAGGCTAATGACATGGCCCTGCTTATTTTTATATTTCTGTGTTACTTTATGCATATGTGGATAATCAAATTTCAAAAGATGGAAT